GAAGTATGTTAATTTTTACAGCCACTACTAGACCTTCAGTTCCCCTGAAAATTGTTGAAGTTGGAATGACTACCTTGCCCTCAGTAACATGTGGACCAAATCAGTACATATGCACATCAGGTGAATGTATCAACACGATTGAGGTGTGTGATAACAAAACGGACTGCCAATCAGGTGAAGATGAGGCCAGGGATTCATGCGTACCACTTCGTAAGTATAAATATGTTGTCTTTATTGTTTGCAGTATGATTGATATTTTAAAGTAAAAATAACTAATATATTGGATTTTGTTTATATATGGAAAATACAAACCCAACCTATCTACATGACTACTAATAACAAAAAACAGTCTGTTTCAAAGTATTGCTAACTCATGGAGTCATATCTATCCATCTAGCCAAGAAATAAGTGATACCTCTCTTACCCTCTGAGTTGAAGCACTGCATGTCTGCATGTGTGAATGCATAAAACATCAAAGATAAATATAAATTATAACCAGTTACACACACGATGTATGGCATTCAAATAAAATTGTAGCTTGATGATCACGTAGCATCTAAATGGATTGGCTATGTTAATGATCTTGTTAATTCTTGTACAATGTGCTATAATGTTTTACTGTAAAAAACTTTATTTATGCTTGGAATAAATTTTCGCTGCTTTTGCTGACGAGTTGATTCAGTGAAAGTAAAATCCAGTGAATATATCTCTTTTCCTATATTTTATCAAAAATCAGTGAAAATAAACTTCATACAAAATACCCCAAAAAGTCTTTTCAGCAAAAATTTATTCCAGTTAAAATAAAGTATTTTAAAGTATATATCATCACATCATTAATTTCACACACTATAACATGTAGCTTAATTTACTGATTATATATGAATTATACACCCACTTTACAGCCGCAATCGATGGTGGTTGGTCAACATGGTCTGAGTGGACAGAATGTCCAACCACATGCGACGTATCCAGTAAAAGACGATTTCGGACATGTATTGATCCAGAGCCTTCAAATGGTGGTAGAGTGTGCGAGGGAAGAGAAGAAGAAACTGAAGAGTGTGCAGAGGAACCATGTCCGGGTAAGTCTGTCTTTGAGTTATATTTAGATATATATCTGGGATTGATTAGTTATGGAATGTTAAGATAAGATGTACAATATATAGTTTTTGGTGTACCAAAGGATAAAGATAGCTAACGTGACATGAAATAGAAGTACATGTAGAAACAATCTATGGCAGTCATTAATTTGTATTTATCGTGTGACTTCACATATGATTTCATGATTATGCTGTAAACTGCTTTCATTTCACAAAAACAAATTGTTCGCAAATCATTGAAAACAGCCGAATTTTGTTGCAGTGAAAATGTTTCTACCATTCTACAACACAGCCTTTCTGTGACAACATTTTATCTTCATGAATGACATAAAATTATCAAATCACAAACATTAGCAGTGAAAATTTGGCAGTTTACATCATCCCCCCTGATTACCATTTTATAATAGTACGCCATGTATTTATTTAGTTGCTGATAAAAGTTATTTTTCTTGTACCTTTCATTAATACTAGTTGATGGAAATTGGACACCCTGGTCACCTTGGAGACCATGTACCAATACATGTGATGGTGGAAGCAAACTGAGATTCCGATCATGTTCAAACGGACGACCTCAATTTGGCGGCGCTCCTTGCCCAGGAGCACCATTTCAAACTGCCGGTTGTAACATGCAGCCTTGTGGTGGTGAGTAATTTCACAATACTTGTTTGTCTTTCAAATCAAGCAGGTTGTTTCTTTTGTTCGGCAACTTTTTTGTATATTTGACTTCCAGAGGAATGCGTTGACGGGAAGGTCGAACTGACTGCAGACCAATGCCACGGAACATGTCCTCGTTCGTGTAATGCTTTGAGCAACAGTGTGGAATGTCTCGACACGTGCGAACCAGGTTGTCATTGTCCAGAAAACCAACTCTTGGACAAGAACGGAGTTTGCGTTGAAACTGAAAACTGTGGCTGTTTCTATGATGGTGAAATGTATGCTATTGGGGAAATCGTCAAAAAAAAGGATTGTAATAACTGGTAAGATCAAATTACTACGACAAGTAAATATGATTACTTTGATAATAAATGTGATTAAAAATATTACTCCAGTTATTAAACAATACAACTTACAATAAAAAATCATATGACTGATAAACTGATTCAGACATCCCTATCGGCAAATATAGAAAGGCATACACAGGCATATATTAAAATGAACTTTGTTGTAAATGTATACCTAACAACTATTTTCATTTGCAGTACTTGTGAATCAGGCGGTGTCCTCCACTGTACAGAACACGAATGTGACGGTATGGTTTGAAAATTATATCACTTCTATCAATACTTTGTCAAGAAATTTAAACTAAAACTTTCTTTAAAATTTCTGACTTGTTTTAAATTATAAATAATACAAGAATGAAACACGAAACTTATTTCCATGGAAACTTTTTGCTTGGCTATTTTGTTAATTTGCAAAACACGAACTGTTATCATATCTGATTGCCATCCATTGAACCAGTTAAACGATTCAGATCAGAGATATTATCACTGTATTTTCTTAATCTCTGCAATCATTTTAAGTAAACAGTATTATATTATTTCCAGTTGATTGCATGTGGAGCGAATGGACCCCGTGGGGTGAATGTCCGGTCACGTGTAGTGGTTCCGATTATGTTGGGCAGCAGAAACGATACAGATACCCCGATCCACAGGCTACTGGTAATGGTGAAAGATGTACCTCCTCCAAAGAAGTTGATGTCAATGATTGCAATACGGAACCATGTCCAAGTATGTTGTTTACACATAGCTGCATATTCTCTGGGAAAGAGCTACATCACACTCACCACTCTACCCTGTATTTCTATGGGCTGTGCATGAGTGGCTGTGGAATGCTGGTCAAAGAGCCAGTGAAAACAGTTAAAGATGAGAAAACTGCACAAAAACAAATTGAAAATACCTGAAGTGAAAATGTTTGCTTTCAAAAATATTGTATAGCATGTATGCTATTACACAGGCATTGTGACATAACATATTTGTTTGTATAAGTCTCTTATCATCTGTTCTTCTTTTTTGTGTTACAGTTCCTGGACAATGGACTCCATGGTCACCATGGCGACAGTGCACCAAATCTTGTGAGACTGGTCTCAAAATGAGATTCAGGAGCTGTACTGCAAACAGACCTGCAAATGGAGGTGTCGCATGCCCAGGAAAACCGATAGATATGTTCGGATGCAATGTCCTTCCTTGTGGTAGGAATATGTGTTAACATTAACATATCTACAATGTATGATTTACTGATTGTACATTTGTTTTCGATGGCCGTGTTAAGTGGGATGTTCATTACAGATGCTAAGTGATTGATCCGTACTTGGTATTTATGTTGAGTTGCGTACATGTACTGTTATAGTATGTAAGTTGAAACACATCATTCTAACTTGTAATAGATTGTAAGTTTGGAATATAATTCCTTTTTCAGACACGGAATGCCAAGAACCAAAAGAATTCAAAGAATGTTCCTGTCCACAAACATGTGAACATCTGTCCGGTGCAGCGTACTGCGAAGAGAACTGTGAAACTGGCTGCTATTGTCCTGAAGGAATGGTCCTACATGTAGGTTACTTGAATAACTTTTTACAACTTTACATATACTGTAATCCCCAAATAATTTTGGAATAAGCATATCTCAGATACTAATTTTTTATGATACAATCGATGTACAGTGTGATAGTCTTTTTATAGGTGATTGCTATCACGTAGTGCTACTTTTGAAACACTGGGAATGTCACTTGGATACTGTCAAAAACAATCGAAACGCAATAATTGACCGAAAAACATGTTTAGGGTAGTACTGGTAACAACCACAAAGTCAGGTGATTTAAAGAAGAGTATAATTTCTGAAATAGGAAATAATTACTGTAAATGCATTTATTATTCACTGGGTTTTAATTTCGCTAGTTTCGCTGATAAGTAAAATCCATTATTAAATTAAATCTACATGAACATGTAAAATAACAGTAAAACTTATTGTTTCCTTGACAACTTCATGAAATTAAAACACAGTGAATATGCTCAAAACATCAAAATAGTGAAATTAAATGTTAATGAAAATAAATAGTTTTGTAGTAATACATAATTGATAGTTAAATACTAAAATAAACAAACTGTCAATGAATTGGAAACTAAACTATCAACATTTATTGTTTCAGAATGACACGTGCATGCCAGTATCTGAATGTCCATGCTTAGATGCAGATGGTAATGTCTATGAGAATGGACAAGCAGTGCCAGATGAATGTAACACATGGTAAGTATCAAGTTAACTCAGAGCGGTGTGTGTGCATGCTATTGCTATTGTATCGTTTGCTTTTATTTGCATTTTTTGGGATGTTATAATAACATGTTTTATATTTAATGCATTTTTCCATAATTTTAATACTAACGTTGCAACAATTTGTAAAATCTTTTCAGTACGTGTCATGAAGGTAACTTGATAGACTGTACCGAAGATGTATGTGATGGTGAGTTATTTATATTTGTTATATTTATTATTTATTATACATTGTATCTACATAATAATGAAATTACTATGTAATTACATATATATATAATATATTTTTATAGATCTAGCAACAAAAACATTAGTCTAAGAATATTTACCGTCCTGTAAATCGCTAAAATTGTATTCATTTCAAAACATAACTGCATTCATTTGAGCATCACTACTATTTAAGCATTCAATATCATTGACATCACATTCAAACACTAGATCACACTAGCTACGCTACACATCGTTGATACAATCACCATACTACTAGCAACAAAAACAATATATAAGAATATTTACCGTCCTGTAAACCGCTAAAATTGTATTCGTTTCAAAACATATCTGCATTAATTTGAACATGCACTACTATTGAAGCACATTGCATTCAAACACTAGATCACACTAGCTTTGCTACACATTGTTGGTACAATAGCCATCTCCCTTTGATCAAATGCGGTATTCTACTGATCACCTCATTGCAAACAATGGAGATATAATTCCTACATTTTGCTCTGCAGTTGATGGGGACTGGAGCTCATGGTCTGCATGGAGTGACTGTGATAAGCCATGTGAAGGAGGTGTGTCTCGCAGATATCGTGGATGTGTTAATCCTGCACCCAAAGGTCTCGGCAGAGATTGTGAAGGAACAGATGTAGAAAATAAACCATGTAATACTGAACCATGTGAAGGCAAGTTGTTTGTCATACATTTCAAATTCATTCATTCATTCATTCCTTTTTTCAGCCTGTTAGTTGTTTGTTTATTGATTTGTATATTTATTTATTTGTTCATTCATTCATTCATTCATTCATTCATTCATTGAAATCTTTTTTCAGAGGATGGTGCATGGGGATCATGGTCACCTTGGTCAGAATGTACTGTAACCTGTGGAGCGGGTGTTACGACTCGTACCCGGGATTGTGATGATCCTGCACCAGCTGGAGGGGGTCGACCTTGTCCTGGAAACGAAACGGATATCAGTAGTTGCTTACCTTCGGAATGTCCAGGTAATATTCATCAAATATTCTGCATGTTCTTCTTGATAAATTATTTTGTGAAGTCAAATCTGTAAAAATTTTAATTTGTTAAAATGTTATATTTATATTAATATGCATTTCTTGTAATGAAGAAAACAAAATGAAATAGCTAAATACACTTGTGAACATTATGTGTATGAGAAACTATAAAGAAAGACATTAATAGGTTTCATTCAGTTTTCATCAGAGCTTTCATTATGATCAATTTGTTATTTTTTCTCTAAAAGTAACTACATGCGTTAATGGTACTGCTTGGGATGAATGTGGACCAGACTGTCCTCGTACATGTGCAGATCTAGAAAACTGCATCCCCCAATGTGCACAGGGATGTTACTGTACAGAAGATGATGAAGTGTTGAATCCTGAAGGTGACTGCGTGAAACCTTCGGAATGTCCTTGCAGAAACCCGGACACTGGGGAAATTATTCCACTCGGTGCTACGGTGGAGCAAGACTGTAATATCTGGTAAGTTCAATTATTTGGACTGTAACTATAATCGAGCTTTGTTGATTCTTTATTCCATACTTATTGGTTTTATATTTACTTTTAGCGAGTGTGTTGAAGGTCGAATGATGTGTACAGAAGAAGATTGTCCAGGTAAAATCTCTTGAATATACGATGCTATTATTGCATGCATGTGTATATATCAATTCCTTAGCCTTGTCGGTCATGGGTGCCCCACTTATACACTTTTCTTCACCATAAATCTTTCTCACCCATACTTCTCCCACTCCATTCCTTCAAATCATCACTCCATTGTCTCTACTGTCTTCCCCTTCCTCCTTCAACCAGACCATCTATGACCATCGCATTTCTGCCCTTTTTTCTTATTTGATGGCTATAAAATTTCATTTTTCGTCTCTTAACCATATCAACCACTGTCTTCATTTCCTGTCAAATTTTCCCTGACCAACGTCTGCAGCACATATTCATTTGTCTTCTTCTCTTTCCATGAAACATCCAGCAACCGTCTGTAACACTTCATCTCAAATACTGCCAGTTTCTTCTCACTTATCTTGCTCAATGTCCAGCTTTCGCTTTGCAAGTGCAGACAATGCTTATCCAATGTGATTAATCACCTCTTTTTCAGACTTTTCCGTAATTGTAGCGCCTAGATACTTGAATGTATGAATGCATGTGTGCCTATTACATATTCTTACTAACAGTTTTGTTGCAAATAAAGACATCTTGTCATAAACATGAATAATTCCTTCTCTTGTAGTTGACGGTGAATGGACATCATGGTCGCCATGGAGTGAATGTGACGTCAAATGTGAGGGAAGACCCACTATACAGTTCAGAACTAGAACATGCACAAGTCCAGAACCTAGTAATGGTGGGAGGGAATGTGAAGGTGCACCAGATCAAACCGCAAACTGTCCAGAGATGCCTTGTCCAAGTAAGAACTAGTGTCAATATTTTTTTTATATCACACATACATGAATTCAAAATGCAATATATTTACATTGAGTAATTTCATTCTGTATGCGGTTTATATTGCCTCAACATATGTTCTGTATTTATTCTTGGTTTAGTAAGTATAGTCACAGTCCCTGGACTAGTATAGTAACCACTTATTTCGCCTTAGTAATTCTTTTGTATATGCATGTCAATTTAGTAAAAGTACTACATCACTGCAGTATTTCCACGTATAAGGTTGTGTTATGTAGTTTTTCTTTAAGAATTCTATATGTATTTGCTTTTACTTAGGAACTGGGAGCTGGGGTCCTTGGGATAATTGGTCTGGTTGTGAAAGATGTGAAATTGGTGAACAAACCAGAAAACGATTCTGTACTAGGCCATATCCAATAGCAGGTGGAACAGAAGAATCAGGATGCCCAGGAAACACCACGCAAACTAAAGCGTGTCCATTAGATGAAGATTGTAGTATGTATACCCTTTTTAATTTTAGTTAGCAGATATTATTGTCTACAGCACTGATCGAATCACACATTATTATTGGTATTATGTCTCTCATTTTAAAAATGCAATGTGGATGAAAATATGTAATTTATATTATTGTTGCTTGATACGTCATATTGATGAATGTTTCATATGATGATTAATTATAAATTAAAAACTTTATTTTTACAAAACCTTTATACAGTAAACCCTTATTCAAAATGTTTAACACATGATAATGTTATTTTTGTAGAGTGCTTAGATGAACAGACATGGAGTGAATGTGCCAGCATATGTCCAAGGACGTGTGAAGATTTACAGGAAGGTGTCGCTTGTTTAAATGACGAATGCACACCGGGATGTGAATGTCCATTGGGTACTGTCCTACAAGACGAAATGTGTGTGCCCCCAGAAGAATGCAGATGTAAATACCCCATGTCAGAGGTTGTTAAATTGTTAGGTAAGTACAACTAAATTTTTTTGCAACATGTGTTGTAATGAAGATAAAGATAATTTAGATAAACTGGAACACTGACAATGATCAGTGACTGAGATAAGTATGATTATAACACAAATAGCTATGATATTTCTATGTATTACATATATTTGAAAGAATGTATCTTGTTAATGTCACAGGGTTTTTAAACCCATTCCAAATTGACAATAACATAGTGCCTCTGTATTGTAATCACTGTAAATCTTGAGACAAGTTTAGCTATGTATAAGTAGTTAATTAATTAATAAACGCTGCTCGGACTGATAAATATGATATATGGATAATATTTGGTAATCATAGTCCTAAGTAACTATTAAAAATAGCTAGGCATTTCGAGCAATGGCTCTTTACTATTAGCTATGTATAGACTTGTCTCTAGCTGTGTAAAATTATATGGGCAACAAAAAACACATAATCAGACTTGAATGTTTTGGCAACCAACAATAAAAAAAACCTCAGAGTAGTAGACGTCATTCATAAGTGTAGTTAGAGAGCTATACATGAATTGACTTGTCTAGCTACATGTAATAATAATAATAATAATAATAATAAACTTTATTGATATCGTATCCTTTATAGGATCTTGAGTTAAATTACAATAAAGTGACGATGGAAAAAGAAATGATGAAAATAACAGAAAAAAACTTGCACATATGCCTTGATATTAATATTGTAGTTTGTTTGGATGGCAATGGAGGCATGTATGTGTAGAACTATATATGTGCAAATAAAATAAACATTAAACAAATCTATCAACTGCAACATTTAACAGGAGTTTATTGTTACAACAAGCGAGCTTGGTCACCATAGTTAAAATGCAAGGTGCCCAACGTGAGCTGCAAACCCATGACCATGGAATTATTAAAAAGTCCCCACAATTATTTATGATAGTACAGTTTGGCTGAAGATGGCACTATCCTCAAAAGGGTTCTATAATGATTACTACGATTGCACTGAAAAAAAAACACTGAGTGTATATTTGAGTTCATTCAGTTTGCATTTAATTTTATATATTTATCTTATTTATGATTGTTTGATTATTTTATCACAGATGATGGACTAACTAATCAGGCAACATCTGGTCCAGCTGAAGAAGCAGTTGCAGAAGTTCTCAGTCAAAGTATGTAGTATGTTTTAAAAGAACCATGTATTTAAGCAAATACCCCATAAATAAAAACAAATTATTCATTGAGATGAATTTTTATGAACGATATTCCAATGTTTATTGATTCTGCACATCTGCACATTGGCAGCTTTACCAAACTGACGTGTCTCAGAATTTTGCTAATTTGATTATTTCATGAAAATTTTTTGGGGGAATTTGATGGTGACATATATTT